TCCTCTGCCTGTGTTGAGGAATCAGCATTCAGTGAATTCTTAACATGTTCCTCTCTAAGGGCAGCTCATAACAGATGGATCTCATTTCTTTCTTCATTTAATTTTTTTCCAAATTTCAACTAGGCTTTGAAGGGAGTCCATTATAGCATAAATGGACAGTTATTTCATGTTGTAAGGAACATATTCCATCAATAACATTTTCCAAATTACATCAGTTACTTTGTGCCCATTCTTCTCCTCCGGGAGAAGGTTTGGCATTGTGTTTGGCTAGTAGAGCATAAAATTCAGCTTTAACTTTTGCGCTGAGGTTTTCAGTCATTTTGTGAAGGGACCAAAACCATGACAGGGAGGTGTAGACTTAAGGTACACAACCACACAGCATCTCCTGTGTTTCCCTTGCTTCCCTGGGTGGGTGAAGAGACTAAATGTGCCTGGGAGCTTCTACTCAGTTACTTCAAGTAGTCCCTTCACTTCCCAGACAGTCCAGATTCACACATACACAAAAACAGTTTCCCTTTTTGCACTAAGAGATCTTTTGTGAAATTCTGAAGACAGAGCCCTCAATTGAGTATGGGGGTGCTTTTCACCTAGGCATGTGCAGTTTGTGGGAAATTTGAGTCACTCCCTTTCCATTTTAGACAACCGCTCACCCCTTTCAGGGTATCGGGCTCGGTGCGGCTGGAGTGAAACATCCTTCCCCTGTTACAGACTACACACAACCCTGCAAACCCCTCTGTCTGTCAGAATCCTGTTCATGATGGCAATTTAATGTCACGATCCACTCATACAAGTGGGGTTGTGATGGTTCATTAACTGATCTCAGAGTGCAAAAACAACAGAGAGGGGATTTCAGTATTAATCAAAAGAAATGCACCTTTTATTGAGTGCCCACAGCAGAAGCAGTAGAAGGATTAGAAAGGAGATAAAGGATAGAGGGAGAGAGAAGAAGACAGGGGTGGGAATAGCTACCAATGGAGAGACAAAATCCTCGTGGTCCAGCCAATAGATCCATCTTGTCACGTTGGGGAGAATCTCAAATTCTTTGCATAACTCAGGGGTCTTTTATAGTCATCCACCAAGGGGAGAACAGATAAAAGACAATGGAGAATAAGTCTATTGAAAATGAGTAAGACAGTCCATGTTCCAAAACAGGACAAATCAATCTCAGCGGTGAGCGAGACCCATTGTTTTCAGGATTGGTGTCTATGAGAAACCAGTCTTGGTGCAGCAAACACACCTGCAGGCAACACTTGGCAAACATCCCACTTCAGTCAGGCCAGTGCCCCTGTGTTAGAATTTTAAGGGTCTCAGTCTCAGTCCTTGGGAGGGGGCTTCCCTTACAGCGCTTGTGAGGCAGTTGAGGGATCTTCTATGGGGGGATCACCAGAGTTACCCCAGAAAGTTCATCTGGCCAAGAGGTGGGGAAATTCATGGGCCATTGTGATGAGCAGGGATCGTGAAGCAGGTGTAAGTGTACAGAGCAAGCCGCTCCCTGTCAGCCCCTGCTCAAAGCAGTTGTAACGTGGGGGCACAGCAAGCACAGCTGCAAACAATCACTTGGCGAGCATCCACCCCAACCAGGCCAGAACTCCAGCCAGGGTCTTCAGGGTCTTCCTCTCTGTCCTTGTGACGGTCGTGAGGCAAATAAGGGAAACTTTGGACCATCTCTTACAACAGTTTACTTTATCTCTTCCTCAACAATCCCCCCTCTGGGAGATATCTTCTCTTATTGGGCCCTTGAGTGTCACTGCATGACTGATAACAATTTCATCATCTCATTGTGAGATGCTCCGGCCAGAGGGAGGAGCCAAGCATTCCTACCTCGATATAATTTGAGATTTGGAAGAAAAGAGACAGCTTTTTCCCACTGGATTCCCAGAGGAGCAGCTTTCTTTTCCACTGCATTCCCAGAGGAAGTCCAGGCCCATCTACGCCACCACTGGACCTTGAGAGGAAAACTCCACCCTTCTACAGGATCACTGCTTCAACAAAACCCCACCTGTCACTCCAGGAGCACTGCAGCCTCCATTTAATTGGACTGCTACCACCAACCTGACCTTTGGGAAAGACATTCTGTGCTGTCCTTGTGAGCTAGCAAGGCCTCCTGAAGATAAGGAGAAGCCCTATATCTCTCCTGAAGGAAAACCAAGGTCATTACCATGGAGACCAGAGGAAGGAGAGAAAGTTGGGAGATATGGACTCTGGCTGGCTCGCAGAGTGTCGTGGCTCCCTGGTCGCCTACTAGGCACTTTGTTTCTCTTTTATGGCCAATGGGTATTGTATATGTGTTAGATGGGTGTAAATATCTGGAAGAACTATAAAAGCTACGTTGGTTTAATAAATTTCTCTCTTGCACCCATTTGATGGAGTCGTGTACTTTTATACTGTGTCATACCCTATAACGACACTGACCCACAGGGTGTCAGGTCATATTCTGACTCTGCCAGTGGGGTTTTTTGTTTGTACTATTGCATTTGTATTTTTAGTTTTCCTAGCAAAGAACTGTTATTCTTATTCCCATATCTTTGCTTGAGAGCTTTTTAATTTCAAAATTATAATAATTCAGAGGGAGGGAGATTACATTTTCCATTTCACAGGAAGCTCCTGCCTTCCTTAGCAGACACCTGTCTTTTCAAACCAGGATGGAATGTCACCCATCTAATGTAGTATGATGGCATCTGGGAAGGTCCTTTGGGTGGGAGATAGGACATTGGCCATGTACCACTGGCACAGAGGGTGAGTTTTTCTCACTTTGTGGGGGGACTTGCCAGTGGTACCGCTTCAGATGTGCCTGTTCAGGGAGGGGATGGAAAAAGCGAATCTGGGAGCATCTCAAGGATAGAGAGGGATGTTTAAAAAGTGGCCTTTGATATCTATGACCACCAGTCTCCAATCATGGGGAAGCATGAAGGGAGACAGAAGACCAGACTGCAATGACTTTGTTAATTTTACAAAGATCATGGAGGAGCGTCCACCTGTCCTTGCCAGGTTTTTTGAGAACAAAGACAGGGGAGTTCCAAGGGCTGTTGGTAGGTACAATGTGTCCCTTGGAGAGCTGCTCCTCCACAAGAAGCTCGAGGGTATGTAATTTCTCTGTTGAGAGGGGCCACTGATCCACCCACGGTGGGGTGTCAGTCTTCCAGGTGATTGTGGGGTGGTGCACTCTGCAGTGGCCCCAAATAGAAATCCCGGGACAGAGGTGGAATATCAAGTCAAGCTCCCCACTGGGACAACAGGTCCCTGGCCCACAGGGTGGTGGGTGCCCTGACTACAAATGGCCTGATGGTGGCAGTTTGGCCCTCCAGTCCCTCTATTGTGATAATACGCTCTCTCCTCATGGAGATGGCGGCTCCTCCAATCACTGAGGTGACTCCAGTGACAGGAGTCAGCTCCTGGTTCAGGGGCCATTGAGGTTGTGTAATGATAGTAACGTTGGCCCCTGTGTCCACCATCCCTTGTAGGGAGATGTTATTACCTTTATTCAACTGACTGCACTTTATAAGGGGCTTGTCTTGGCCCATGATTTCAACCCAGAATGCCATTGGGTGCTCTGGGATATTGTCTATGCTTAATGGCAATAAAAAGGCTTGGGCGATCACAGTCTCTCTGTGCAGGAAGTGTGGTGGTTTTGTGCAGCAGAAAGTCACTGTGATTTCGTCACTTGGCCCAACAGTTTGTACTTCCAATATAATATGTATTTCATTTGGTCCATGAATACAATTACCTATTACCAGCACATCCCTCAGGCCCTCTAGGGGTCCATATTTTCTGGTGGGAATACAATAGAAAGCAGAATCATCAAATTGTATAGACAAAGCACTCACCAGTTGGTGTCACGTCCTGACCTGAACTTGCTGGAAAGCCTTGGTGACTCTGGTCTGTTGTTCGGAGTATGAAGAGCTCCACGGGAATTTCCCACGTATTGGACCTCCAGAATAGTGGGGAGGGTACAGTGAAACAGCTTTCCATTTGCTGTCTTCACACGGGGCCACCCTGCAGTCTGTTGGAAGTTTTTTGGCTGATAATGGTGCTGGTGGTGGTGAGCTTACTGGTGATAACAAAACTGAGAACAGTTGTTAGAATGTCTGTTGCAATCCATACAGTGTGATGAATGGCACCTCTTTGGTGGCTGCTGGTCTTTAGGCATTTTGTATTCTGGACAGTCCTTCAAAAAAAAGCCCAGTTCCCCACAATTAAAAGATTTTGCAGCGTCTTGGGATGTTAAAAAGGCCCTCTCCCTTAGAGATTGCCCTTGCCACAGTGTGTTCAGTGGAAGATAATTTGGTGCAGGCCTCGTCCATGTGGTTGATTGTAGGTTCTGGGTCAAAGGGGAGAGTCTTAATATTGTTTTGCACTCATTGTTTGCCTTTGCCAAGGCCATTTTATTTAGCACTTCCTTGGCCTCTGGGCTTTCTATTTGTCACTCAAGTGCAACTTTAAGTCTGTCTACAAATTTCATGAAAATTTCACTTGCCCTTGTTTAATGTTAGTGAAGCTCTGTGTATGTAGGGTGTCATCGAGAGTGAGGAGCAGGGATGTCTTTGCAGCAGTGGTGATGTCACCGAGTGCAGCTTCTTTTAAGTCCTTTGCTTGGTCTTGTGGCTTCTGGAAGTCACGTTCTCTTGCCATTTGTTCAAGGCTTAAATTTGGTTTGTTGGCATCTTTTGAATATGTGTCCGCCAGTGATTTGAGATGCCTTTTTTACTGCCTCTCCCACAGCATGTACTCGACCGAGGTGTGAGACTCTGTCCAAAGTTTCTCTCATCTGCCTCACAATCGTCATTGGGGACCACTGAAGAAAAGACCCTTGTCTGAAGTTTCTGGCCCTGTTGGAGAAAGTTACGTGCCAACGGCTCCAAGACCTGAGCACAGTGCTAAGCTATTGTTCACAGGTGTTGTTTGCTGTATGCTGCACTGAGCCCAATGAAAGAAGAAGGGGGCATCTTGCCTTTTTGCAGCAATAGCCTTGGAAGCTGTCCCACCTCTCGGCCTGGCTGGACTTCTCCTGAGTCTTGGGTGATCCCCCCACAGAAGACCCTCACCTGTTTTACAACCACCATGACAGACAGACTGAGATGTAAGGAGCCTCTCCATCAAAGACCGAGACATGAAACCCCCATGTGGAAAGGCCCCTCTGCTCCTTCCAAGGACTGGGACTGAAACCCCCAGCCCGGGGCAGGTGTGTGGGGGAGGCAAGCTGACCAAAGCGAGATATTTGCCTGCAGGTTGTGACCGCTGGACCAAGAAGACAATGGCTCTCGTTTGCTGCTGAGAACATGGACTACCTGTTACATCTATTCCTTATTGTATCTGTTTCCCCCCTCCCCGGCAATTTCCAATAGAGTTATCATAATAAAAACCTCTGAGTTAGCGAGAGATTTCAAGATCTCCCCAGACGTGACCTGGTGAACTCCATTGGCTGGACATCAAAGGACTTGGCTGTTCTATGTTTGGTAGCTATATACCTTCCTTTCTCTTCCTCCCTCTTTTCCTTATTTTTCCCTTTTTTCCCCAATTCCTCCCCAATGCATTTGGTTATTCAATAAAGTGCATTTGTTTTGATTATCACTGCAAACCCCCCTGTGCCGTGTCGGTTCTTTGCACCCTGAGATCAAATCCACGAACAATCACGAAACCCGTTCATAAGGATGGATCGTGACACGGGGAGAGTAGGCAATTCATGATATTTTTATTTTCATGCACGACCAAGACACGGTCAGAGAAGGTGGCTTCCAGAAAGTTTTTTAAGAAATGCAACCCCCAACCATATTCCTTAGCCACTTTGCAGAGCTCCTTCAATTCTCCATAGGGGATCGGCTCCCAGGAATTGATTGCAGTCACCCTTCTGCTGTGTTTACATATAATTTGCAAGCCCACAATCTTTTTGGTGAGCTCTGAGCCCTCCCAGTGGCTTCCCTCTGCAGCATGGCCCAGTGATCCTCAGACTCAGGACTGGAATCCGGGTCTGCAGAATCCCTATTTTCATCCTCCGAGGAGGATGGAGGGCACTTGATGACTGCATGGAGCCTCTTGGGGCAGCCAGAATCTGCCTGTTTGTGGGCAGCTGTGGAAGCCAATATGGGCTCCTTCTGGTCGCTGTCATCACCACTTCTGACTCCAGTGTTGTGGGAATGGGAATGGGAGGGACCATCAGGAGAGGAGTCAAGAGAGGAGGGTGTAGGGATGGGGTGTGCACAATGGGGAGGGATTCCCGATAGAGAGGGGAAGTCCCAACATGGACACACTTCCTGACACAGAAGGGAGGGGCAGGGCGCGATTACAGGAATAGAGAAAGTGGGAGGAGGGTCAGAGGTGTCGTTTTTGGCAGAACAGGGAGGTGACAAAATGGCCATTGCCTTTGTGGGGTCAGCACCATTTTGTGGAGAAAGGGCAGAAAAACTTGGAGAGGGAGAAGACAAGATGGCGGGGCTGGCCACATTCCTGGCACCATCTGGGAGAACAACTGGGGGTAGTAGAACTGGGTATGTGGGCATTGGTAAGAGGGTTAGGAGAGAGCCCAAGGCAGCATGGCCAGTGCTGCCCTGGAGAGGGGACAGAGGACACTGGGAGATGTCAGGGTGATGGCAGCAACCCTGCGCCTGCTGGCAGGATCCATCTCCCAATCCTCCCTGAGGCAGGGAAGAGGGTTTAGGGATGCGAGGGGAGGAACAGGGAGAAGGGGTGTTAAACTGGAGGCCCGAATGTTTCCCCGCATTTTCTACAGACGTAACAATAAGGTCAAAGGATAAAATTTCCCCACTGAAAGATCCCCTTTAACTCAAAGAACATAGAACCTTTTCCCTATATGGTCCCAGAACTCATTAGAATGAATTCCCTCGTAACATCAGGAAAATACTTAAACAATCAATTAATAAAACATTTTAAATCTCCCTTTGAAAAATGAAAATTTTCTCCAACAAGGATTCCTCTAACTTGGGTATAAACTTCCCTGTGTGGGTGGATCAGTTTGGCTCCCATCCCCACACTTTCTCCCAACATCCAAGAGGAAAAGAAGGCAAAGGAAAGACAAAAAAGGGTGACCCCCAAATATAGTACTCACATGACAGTGGGTCAACAAAACCTCTCCAGGTTGTCCGTCAGCTTCAACCGATCTTCTCGCCTCAAGAAGGTTGCTGGTCGCCTGTGCGATTCCCCCAATAAAACTTAGGAGTCTCCTCTGGGAATTGGCTGCTCCGAACATGGCTTAACTTCAGTAGCCAAAAAGCTACTGAAGACACCTCCAGGAATGCTCCGAACAGGTCCCTGTTCAGGCTGCCAGCTGTCACAAGCCACAAACCCATTGGTGGTGGAGCGAGAGGCAGCGGAGCCGTGACCTTCCAGAAGTGTCTCCAGTAATGAAGCCACTCGGTGGCACAGGCACACACACACACACACACACACGATCACTGCAGTACACATTTCTCTTGTAGAATCACCAACGACAAAGAAATGGGAAGGGTCTTTGTACGGACGCCAGAGAAGGAGGTTTATTCCAGCTACGCACAAAGGAGTTCAGGGACAAAGACAAAAAGAACAGTGGAGGGTGCGGGTTTAAATACAGGGGACAAGGGGGGGTGGAGCAGAGCATCAGGGCCAATGGGCTGAGGGCTCAGGGCAGTACAGAGGAGAGACAAGGGGTGGCAACCAATAGGGTAAAGAGGGTGGGACACTGAGGCAATATGGGGCCAATGGATAAGCAGGGAAGGGAGAACATTCAAGGACATAAATATAAGGAAAAAGGGAGGGAGAGGCCAACAGTCCAACCAGGGAGGTAGAACTGGGTACATTTGCATATACAACAAAGCATCCTGGAAGAGGGTCTGCTCAATTGCCCTGAACAGGGGAGATTTCTCCAACTTGGGGTCTGTCTGTCTGTCCAAAGGCCTATAATGGCCTTTGTTCTGTAGGCCCACCGGCCTCCACAGACGCTCAGTGGAAAAAGGGGTTAGAAGCTTTGTTTGTGAAATTTGTGGGACATGCAAACCTGAATATTGCAGCCCTCATGATTGACCACCTGGCCGGAGAAGGAAGCCACTCAGACCCTGTTGGGCAAACCCACATTCCTAGTGAGGCCCTTGAGGGTATTACTGAAGCTGTGCATAGCACAGTTTTAAAGGTTCCTGATGCTGTGAGCCCCCCAAAAAGTATTTACTTATGCAAAGCAAGGACTGGCAGAGCCTTATATGCAATTCAATGGCCGCTTGAAACAAGCTCTTAAAAGACAAATTGAGAATGACATTGCCAGAGAGGTGTTGCTTTCAAAATTAGCTGCTGAAAATGCTAATGAGAATTGTAAAAAACTTCTGAAGTCCTTGTCTAAGGAGGACCCCACCCTGCTGTAAATGATAGAGGCATGTAACCACCTGTGTGCCTTCAGCATAGGGCAACCGTTAGTAATGAACCTTACTGGGGGGGCTGGTATAGCAAATGCCTTTGTGTGGAAGGGGCCAACAGCGGGCCTGTTAGCTAAAGGAGTGAGAAGAAAGGTAAGAAGCAAGAAGTTGATAAGGATTCTCTCCAAGGCTGTAACTAAGGAGACCAAGAAAAGTAAGGAATTGAAGAAAGATAGGAGAACTTTGCAGCTGGATGAAGTATTTTTAGAAAGTCAGTTGAAGTCACTGTAACTTATCCCTAATGCTTTTATGTTGATTTATTGTGGCCAGTAGTTAGGGTAGAAGAAATATAAACAATTAGAAAGGGTATAAAAGGTCAGCCATGTTCAATAATAAAGAGTTGCCATCTGAGACTGCTTGTGGTCTCTGCCTTGTGTCATGACTGCCTTGACAGCAACATCTGGTGACCCTGATGTGATTCAACACCCTTAAGAACATACTTGATCTGGACCCAAACGGGGTCCTTGCGACTGGCAAATGTGACTCACTGGGACGTAGTGGGGGAGGCAGCGTTGGTGCAGCTGAGAATGGCAGGTGGAAGCCACAGGGAAGCCCAGACCTGATTTTCTCCTATCAAGACACCTGGAAGTAGGTGAGCCACCAACTAATAATAATGGGAAATAATTTATCTAATGAAGAAGAGACTGTTTTGGCTACATGGAAAGTTTTGTTAAGAAATAAGGGAATTAATACTTCAGACTATGCCCTTCGTAGTATATTGCTGTGAGCTAAATCACAGGATTTTGGCACTGATCCTGACACAGCATTTAGTGTTAAAGCATGGGAAAAAGTCAGGGACAGACTGTGGGAAGTCATCTGAGTGGGAGATAAAACTGTTGTTGATCTAGCTGTTACCTGGGGATCGCTTTTTGAGGCATTAAAGGAATGGAAAACAGAGCGAGAAGAAACAGAGCAGGACGCAGATGAAGAATCAGTGTTGATAACAGAAATTGACAAGGGGGATGAGGCAGAGGGGGCCTCTGATGGGGAACTTGGTGAATCTATCCTTGAAGAAGGTGCAGGTGCCATGCAAGTTACCAGGCAGGCTACCAAAGCTTCCAGGAAAGCTGCCAGAGCTTCTGGACTGGATGCCAAAGCTTCTGGGACAGCTGCTAAAACTTCTGGGCAAACTGCCATAGTATCTCCTTCTCAGACTCAATTTAAGTCACAGCTGCGCAGCAGCTCCTGATGGTGCCTGTATACACCACACCACTGCACCAGGTAGCTGAAATGTCTTTAGCAGAGAGAGAAACCCAGCCGTCTGCCCCCCTGTTTCCCTCTGCTCTAGCCCAGCCATCTGCCCCCTCGCTCCCCTCTGAGCTGCATGAACAATCTGCAAGGTCGTATCCTCCGTTACCTGACAGTGACAGCGACAGCGAATCAAGTGATGAGTCTCCCGCAGTAACATCTGAGTTGGGGCAGGGAACTGTTGACAGTTCACCTTCTAATAGCTCCAGCCTTATTGCCCCATGGACTTTGCCCCCATGTCAAGTAACTGGGCTTCCTCAACAGCCTCAGGAATTTTGGGAATTTGTTAGGAAGAAAGCAGCTGAAGAAAAGAATTGGAACATGATAGAAAGGTTAGGTGCTCCAAGAGTACCTCAGGAGAACAGTGCTAATGCAAATGTTGCCTGTGATAACCCTATGGCTTTTCCAGGTTTTAAAGCAGCTCCTGGAACAGGGCAGGATGACAGTCATCACGTCTTTGTCTGGAAGGTTGTGCAAAATCTCCAATCGAAAGTGGCTCAGTATAGTATTAATTCCTCAGACGTAATGCAATTAATATGTGTAATTAATGCAGTTATGCTTGCACGTTATGACATCATGCATATTGCTACTATTTCATTCCAGCCAGTACAATACGGTGTAGTTTAAGAAATTTGGAGGCGAGTGGCTGAGCAGACAGCTGTAACAAATATGCAGTTGCCTCAACACGACCCTCATCATGCTGTGGGTGTTGATGCCCTACTGGGCACTGGGCCTTTTGCTAGCCCAGATTCACAGGCAAGGTGGGATCCTTCAATTTTGGCACAAGCTCAGCAAATTGGCACGAGTGCTTTAATTAAATCAATGGAAATGGCAGCTCCAAAACAGAGATATGATACTATACAACAAGAGATGAGAGAACCATTTTTGCAATTTGTGGAAGAGCTTGCTGCAGCCATTGAAAAACAGGTAGATGATGAATCTTTGCGACACAAATTCTGTATACATTTGGCTAAAGAAAATGCAAACTCAGGCTGCAGAAAGATTATTGACACTTTACCTGGAGAACCCACATTGCCTGAAATGATTACTCCTTGCTCAAAAGTTGGTTCAGTAGAGCATAAAATAGCAGCTCTTGCTGCAGTTCTAAGACCTTCATCGAAATGCTATAATTGTGGACAGCAAGGGCACGTAAGGGCACAGTGTAATACCCAGAAAATAACATTTAAATCAAATGCAAGCAGCAACGTTATGTGCAACCATTGTGCTAAATTTGGGCACTATGCTAAACAATGCAGGAGTAAATATCGTGCAAATGGTCAGCTGTTGCAGGGAAACAGGAAGAGGAGCGCAAATGGGCATGTGGGAAAACAAATACCCCAAGAACCACAGCAGCAAATATGGGCCTCCCCAGCACTGCAAAGCTAAACATTTGTGAACAATACTCAGGGGCAACAAGTGGGTCTGCAGGGATTGATATACCCACCGCTGACACAGTAACCATTCTGACAAAAGAAATGTGCAAAGTGCCCCTCGATGCCTATGGTCCAATAGGATGGGGATTGAGTGCGTTTTTGATGGGAAGATCAAGAACTACACTTAGAGGTATTCATGTGCATTTAGGACTTATTGATGCTAATTATTTAGGACAGATTCATGCTATGGTACCCATTTATGACCCTCCTGTCACTATTCAGAAAGGAACTTGCATTGCTCAAATTGTACCTTTTGTGAGTTCTGTTCTGAATACAGTGGACTGAAGTCGTGGCACAGGAAGTTTTGGATCAACAGGGGTACCTCAAGTGTTCTGGGCTCAGAAAGTTACGGAGAACCATCCAGAAAAGACATGCATCCTCACTGCCAGTGGATGTCATCCAGGAACCATATCAGTAACAGCCTTGATTGATACTGGATCAGATGTCACAATACTCTCGTGACTTTGCTGGCCTCAATCGTGGCCTCTCACTCATGCAAGTTTTGGACTTCTGGGGTTGGGTGGTGCTACAACAGGTGGCCTGTCAGCCATTGTAATTAATGTGAAACATCCTGATGGCCTACAAGCTAACATCAGACCCTATGTTGCCGATGCTCCTCAAAGTTTGTGGGGACGACATTGTTTATCTCAATGGGGTGTCAAAATTACTACGGATTTTTAATGGGGGCCACTGTGATGCAGGGGAATGAACGTCCAATTGTAGCCTTGATATGCTTGACAGATAAACCTGTCTGGGTTGACCAGTGGCCCCTTACTAGCAAAAAGCTTACTGCCCTGCAAGAACTAGTCACAGAACAATTGCAAGCAGGAAATATTGAAATATTCCTGGAATACCCCTGTTTTTGTAATAAAAAAGAAATCGGGAAAATGGAGACTTTTACATGATTTACGGCAGATAAATGCTGTAATGGCAACAATGGGAGCTTTACAACCAGGCCTTCCTACACCTACAATGATTCCACAGGAATGGCAAATAGTTGTCATTGATCTGAAAGATTGTTTCTTCACTATTCCATTGGCTGAGCAAGACAAAGAAAAATGTGCTTTTACTCTGCCTTCCATAATCATGCTGAACCCTGAACCCAATAAAAGATATCAATGGAGGGTACTTCCCCAAGACATGAAAAATTCGCCAACTATTTGTCAATGGTTTGTGGCACAGGTCTTGTCAAAAGTGCAGGAGCAATTTAATAACTGCTACTGTTATCATTACATGGATGATATCTTGTTGGCATCTGATAACAAACAACAGTTATCAGCTCTTAAACAATGTGCTGTGACAAATTTGAAAGCTTTTGGTCTGATCATTGCCCCAGAGAAAGTGCAGGAACACATGCCTTGGAAATACTGGTATGTTAGTGACTAGCACTCAAGTTATGCCTCAACCTGTGAAGTTAGACATTGATGTTAAAACTGCTACTGATGTACAGAAATTGGTTGGTTTAATAGGTTGGATTAGATCATATTTAGGCATAACTAATCATCAGATGCAACTATTGCATGATTTGCTGTCAGGCACCACCTCCTCTACTGATGAGAGGCAACTGACCCCAGCAGCAAAGACCCTAGAAGAAATTGAATTAGCCTTAGCACACACATTTGTTAACAGATTAGATACCTATGTTGGTGTTCAAGTGTTTATTTTGAAGGACCATGAAATAACATGTGGAATACCGTGTCAATGAAGTGATAACTGGGAAGATCAACTGCGTATTCTGGAATGGATATTTTTATCTTTCAATAAAGATAACAAAACAGTAAAACCTCTTGCTGCTCTAAAAGAGAGACAAACTCACCAAGTCCCTCTGTGGGCTGTAGCTCAGCTCACTCAGTCCCTTATCAGTCCCTCCAGTGCTGGAAATGCCGCGGCCCAGGCCCGGCCCGGTGGGCCACAGGTGTGAGCTGCCCGTGCTCTTCTGGTGTTCAGGCCAGAGCAGGTTTAAACAGGTCCAAAGAAAAGGGAAAAAAACACCACAGTTCAGGAACTTGTTTGGTTCAGCTAGCTAAAACTAACTAAAAGCAAAGGAGAGCTCTGTCCCGCTGTCTGTCCATCCGCAGACAACACAGTCCCAGAGCAGGAATGTGGAAGAGCGAGTGCAGTTTCTGAAAACAAACTGCATGCTGCTTCTCTACCCCTTCACTCTCAGGACAGGTCTTGAAGGTCAAAACTTATTATTCAGCATAAACAGAACAGACTGGGGATACAAGCACCAAATAGTCAACCCAGAATATACCTCAGGGACCATTCAGTACTCCTTGATGTCACCAGAAGATAGGATTGAATGCAAAAGATTTTATGGGGTTGAAATTCGACAAATCTGCTCTTCCCAAGGAATTCCCATTGTTGGCCTGCGTCCTGATGGATGTTCCTGCCTCTGGGTTTATCTAGGTATCCTCAGAGAACCAGGAAGATGTGGAGCCCCCCAGCCAGATGCCTTCCAACTTTCATCACCAGGACCACGGATCATCAGGGCTCTGCCCAACGGGGGTCACTGGGGACAATCCCATGTGGATCCTCTCATGGAGGATGGAGCTGGAGCAGCGCACAAAGCTCTTCCCACACTCGGGGCACTCACAGGGCTTCCCTTAGTGGCGCCTCCGTTGGTGTCGGGTGAAAGTTGAGCTCAATGAGAATCTCATCCCACACTCCCCACACTCGTAGGGCCTCTCCCCGGTGTGGATGCACCGGTGCAGGGTGAAGGTGGAGTTTTGCTTGAAGCCCTTCCCACAGTCAGGGCAGCGGAAGGGCCTCTCCTCTGTGTGAATCCACTCATGTTTGAGAAGATCGGAGCTCCTGTGAAACCTCTTCCCACATTGGGGACACTCGTAGGGCCTCTCCCCAGTGTGGGTGCCCTGGTGTTTTCTCAGGTCAAAGTGCCACCCATAGCTCTTCCCACATTCCAAGCAGGTGTAGGGCCGTTCCCCTGTGTGGACCACCTGGTGCCGAATCAATGCCGAGCTTCCTCTGAAGCTCCTCCCACATTCCCCACACTTGTAGGGCTTTTCCCCAGTGTGGATCTTCTGGTGTTCCGTCAGCTGGCACTTGATGCTGAAGCTCTTCCCACACTCCCCACACTCATGGGGTTGTTCCCCAGTGTGGATCCTCTCATGTTTCCTCAGGCCAGAGCTGTATCTAAAGCTCTTCCCACATTCCACACACTCATAGGGCTTTCCCCCAGTGTGGATCCTGTGGTGTTGCATCAGGCTCCCCTTCTGGCAGAAGCTCATCCCACATTCCCCACACTCATAAGGCTGGTCTCCAGTGTGGATCATCTTGTGTTGCATCAGCTGGCCCCTCTGCCTGAAGCTCTTCCCACATTCCCCACACTCAAAGGGCTTTTCCCCAGTGTGGATCCTCTGGTGTTGCATCAGGACAGAGTGGTGGCTGAAGCTCTTCCCACACTCCTCACACTCAAAGGGCCTCTCCCCAGTGTGGATCACCTGGTGCTGCCTCAGGCTGGAGCTCCAGCTGAAACGCTTCCCACATTCCCCACACTCATAGGGCTGCTCCCCAGTGTGGATCACCTGGTGCTGGATCAGATCTAAGCTCTGACTAAAACCCTTCCCACATTCCAAGCACTTGTGGGGCTTCTCCCTGCCATGAGGCTTCTCCACCAGCTCTGAGCTCTGGCTGGATCTCCAGCCGCCTTCCTGGCTCAGGGGGGCTCTTTCCTCCCTGCAGCTCCCTGGGCTGGGTTTGCAGCCCCTCCTCGTGCGCTATTTCCAGGGCTTTTCCTCCTCCTCCATCCAGACACGTCCTAGGAATGAAAAATCCTGGTTTGGAGAAAAAAACAAGATGAGAGTGCCTTGGACTGGGAGTTCCTCCTTGCCCAAGTTCATCTCATTAGGTCATTGGGCATCTTGTGTCTCTAAGAACCTCCAAAACACCACAATTCAGCACAAAAGTCCTCCAAACATCAAGACACAGATCAATAACTTCCCAAACATCAAGATTCAGCAAAAGCCCCCTCCAAATATAAAGATTCAGCCCCCACAAAAAAACAAAGCACCAACAATTAGCCCAAGAAAGCTCAGAAACACCAGGATTCACCCCCGGGAAAATCGTGGATCCCAATCCCCTGTCACCTGCTGCATGTGGGGGGGGCAACGCTCCTGGGGCTGGGGTCAGAGGCTGCAGATACAGGGAGAGGTGGAACCTTGTGCTGCATCCTCTTCCTGTTCCTCCTCCGGTGTCCCCACTCTTCCTCACACTCCTCTTCCTCCTGCTATTCCTCCTTCTCCTGCACAATCCCACCTTCTCCTCCCACGGGCATCGTTTGACCCTTTTGTTCCTCAACCCTGCTTCTCCTTCCCTTCTCCTCCTGCCCCAGGCCCAGCACCCGCTGCCGGCTCCCTCTTGCCCCCAAACCCACAGCATCCCACGGCAGGGGCAGGGATGGAGCTGGGGCAGGTCGGGCTGGGGCAGCGCTGGGCTCTCGGCCGCTCCCGCCCGCACTCGGTCCCACTGCAGCCGCTCCCGCCAGGACAGCGCAGGGGGGCCCGGCCTTGGCGCTGCCCCACTCCCACCTCCCCAAATTCCCCTCGCATTTGGAGAACAGGGCATGGATGGTGTTGGTGTGCTGCAAAGGGACTGGGTGAGGGGGAGTGTGCAGCAATATGCTTAAGGCAAAAAGCTGCAGAAGGAATCTTTGTGGGAAGGAAAAGGATGATGGAAAAGAGAAGGAAGAGAAAAATACTGAGGACTGGGATGTTTTTCAGCAGGGTCTTATCCTCAACATTTGCCGCCTGATCATTTGTATCCCCGGTTTCCAGGAGAGGAAAACAAGGAGGTCAGGGTTTCAGGGGGTTTCTCTGTGGGGGGCAGCGGCAGCACCGGGCGCAGAGGTGCGGGACCGGGAGCACGGGCTGGGGGCCCGGGGGGAGCTGCGGGGCCGGGCCGGGGCTGTGGGGCAGCCGGGGCTCAGCGCCGGGCGCTGCCTGACCCCACCAGCCCCGGGCAGGGCCGGCAGTGGCCCCCGGCCCCCAGGAGGCTGCGGGACGCCCCGGCCGCTGCCCGGCCCCGTGGAGCTGCCGGCCCTGCCCGCCGGGGGGCGCCTTTGGACACTGCGGCAGGACAGGGACCGGCTCTGGGATACGGGCTGGGGAGGGCACCCTGAGCACAGGGAGGAGGAGCAAGGAACATCTGGGAAATACAGATTGTACATGGAAGGATCCAGATTTTCTTCTAAGGATTTGGTTTGGGTCCTTGGAGAAATGAATGATTTTGCAGAAAACTTAGCAGCTGTCAGAAGGTTAGGGTTAGGGTTGAGTTGCTGATGAGAGCTGATTGCTGGGTGCTCGGGACCTCTGTTTTTTTGGGAGTTTTCCCGGGAGCGGGGGAGGGGGGGGACGGGGGAAGGGTGCAGAGATGCCGGAGGATTCAGGCTGGGGGTAGGGGCTGGGCGCAGTTGCTGGCCCTCTCTCAGTTTTCTGTCCCTCTCTCAGGTTTTTGGAGGAAGGCAATTGGAGCCGCTGCTCTTAGGCTGCTCTTTCCACTGCTGCTGACAGAGCCCGTGTGAAAAATGTCTATGATTGGCTTTTCACAAACATTAAAATGAGTATTATACATGTTATGTTAGGAAGTTATGCTGTAACAATTTTTTTAAGTAGTGTGTTAAATGTAGTTTTAGGTTATAACATAATGTTAAAATAGAAACTATGTATGTGGGATAGTTTTTTAAAAAAGGAATGAGGACTCACACCAGATAGCAGACACAGGACACCTAAATCTTTCAGAGAAGAATATTTTATTGCTCAATTATCAGAAGAAATGAACTTGTTCCTGCCTTGCTCAGCCCTGAAGATGCCATCAGGATGAAGAGGAAGAAGCTGACACTGACCAGACAGAATCCTTTGTTGGAATGGAATTTATGTATCACGTATGAGATGTACAAATATGCAATGGGCTATGGTTTTTCACAGTTAATCCTCTATTAACGTGTGTCCTGTTTTGGGCTTACTTTGCCCAGGAAAAGGTACCCAAGCCGTTTGTAACTCTTTGTTTCCATTGTCTTGTATTGTCCTAAATCCTAATTGTCCAAATTTTTATTACTCTAATTGTATTACTATTTTTATAACCATTTTATTACTATTAAACCTTAAAAATTTTAAAAACAAGTGATTGGCGTTTTTCACAATTATGGTAGCAGAGGATGGTTACGAACACCTCGCTGCCGGTGCTTCAGGAGAGTCAGAGTGGGGAAGGTGCCCCCTGCCCTCTTCGGCAGCCTCGCTCTGTTTGCCCTGGGGTGACCGACAGACGCAGGTTATGGTGGACAAAAGGAGACAATAAAACAAAGACAAGGGAAAAAGGGTCCCTACAACCGCGCGGTAATTGGCCCCCTAAGAGTAGTAATGTGCGCGAAGAACTCGGGAAGGAAAAGGGATTGGTAAGTATTTCTCAGGGGGGATGAATGTGAGTGAATGAGAGGCGGGCTGGTTGTGCCAGACCTGCCAAGTGAGTGCTGGAGTCTCCCATGCTGCGTTTCTGACTTTCCGCGGTAAGTGGCCAGTAAAGAGACAAAGTGAATGTTAAAAGGAGTGAGAGAATCCCCCGGGGTAACTGGGACTGGGTCTCAGAGAGGGGCTGGACCCCTCGGAGGAAGGGAGCAGAGGAGTTTCCTAGCCCAATCCACTAGCAAATGGGACAAAAGGGGCTCCTAAAAACCTGCTGGGTTGAGGGATAAGAGTGCCCAAGAGCATCCAGAATTAAAAACTGCTGGGTTGAGGGATTAATATTCCAAGAGCATTCAGGGTTAAGCAAAATTCTGCCGGATTGAGAATATGCTCAAGAGCATCTGGGATTGGACAACACAGGTGGATTGAGAAATAAAAAAATGCCCAAGTGTTGGGGAAGATGAAACAGGAAAGCCTTATAAATATGATTGTCTGGCAAAAGATTTCGAAAATATAGAAACTATAAGCAAGATTGAAATGAAAGCAAGCTTTGAGATACCTCAGTTAGTGAACAACTGGAAAACAATGGTGTGGCCCAACTGAAGGTAATCCCCTTTTAATGAAACAATTCCCTCTGCTTGCAGACAGATCCAAGGGTCAGAGCAGATCCTGCCAGCTTGGCAGAAGGGGTCCAAAGAGGAGTTTTTACGGTTTAAAATGTAACACAGTGTGGTAATGTAATGATTCTTATAGGCTGTGTGTAAATGCTATAGGACGTGCATCTTGTACTAGATTGGCTAGTGAGAAATAGAATATTCGACACAAAAGAAGATTTATTGTGTTGTAATGGGAACCTTACTCTCTTACGCTTTTGCTCTCTTACGTTTTACTCTCTCAACCTCTCATCCTCTCTACCCCTCTCTTCTCTCGGGCCTGCTCCGAGCTGTGCCTGGCAGCTCCAAGCAGGGCCCTGCACCCGGGCCCTTTGCAATAAACCGCGAGTTCCAGGGCCTGGCTGCAGAGATCTCTCGTCTCCGTCCATCCCGACCGTCCTACCCCCCAACGCTCCTACACCCAAGAGCACCTGGGGTTGGCCAACACAGCTGGGTTGAGGAAAATCCAAGAGCACCGGGACTGGCCAGAAACACCTAAACTTGTAATAGGTGATGTGAATGTAAAAGGTACCTTATTGTTGTCTTGTTTGTGTGTGAGAGAGAGTCACACACAAAATCAGCCTCAGCTTCCTGGGCAGGTGGGAAGGGGGGGCTGTGGAAAGAGGTGTGTGTGACCCACAAATAAGCTGGGCTGGCACAGAGCCTGCCCTGGGACTTTGCTGTTGCCAACACCCAGCCAGGACATCGGCTCCTGCCTAAGGAGTGCAAAGCAGCACCACTGGTGGCCAAGGGGCCCATGCCAAGTGTCCCTGAGGCCAGAAACAGCCGCCAGCACAGCTGAACACGGGGGGACCCCTCAGCCTGGCCTCAGGGGCTCTGAAGCCCCGGAGATTTGCACTTCCCGCCTGCAGCAGGACCATGGGAGCCCCCACTGAGCCTGCCCTGAAGGCAACGCAGCAGCAGCCAGGGCTCCACAGCGGGCCAAGCCCCTGGGCCTGCCCACAGATCCTCTGCTCAAACCCTCGGAAATCCTGGCCACCCTCCTCTGGCACCTCCAGCCACTGCGGCCAAGCCTTGCTGCCACTGCTGCAGCTTCAGCGCTGGCTGGGCCTGCACTGCCACAGCTGCTGGGGAGCACCACGGCACAATTCCACTCTGGGGCTCACTCACACTCACACTCTGGGCTGCCTAGAATAAGATTACACCATGAGAATGTTTTTTCTAAATAATCCTACTTTCATATTGTCAGTTAGGTTTGGGGGTGAGAATCAGTTTTTATTCTCTGCAGAAGAAGTAGAAAATATCGTTATTGCTTTGGATTCTTTTTCAGTGTGTTTTTGCCTGGCTGGTGGAGATGGCAAAATTTTGGTCCGCGTTTTCTGGTGTTTACCTCCAGGCTGCGTTTAGAAGAGCTTTAAAGGTGACCCTTTAACTCACAAACCGTTAATAGAACACTCTTCAAAAAAAACCCCAAAAATTAAAAATACCCCAAACCCTGGCTTTTGGGGTGGGGCGCATATGAGTCATGCTCT